ATGTGATGTTGAAGGAAATGGCAAATGAGGAATTTGGACCTGGGATCAATATCAGGGAGTACTCACTATTTGAAAATCCATCAATGCCGCAAGAGGTGTTGCATTAGTTTCATACCTTGTTTACATAAAAGCGTGCATCATATAATTCACAGATTAATACTCTCTGATTATTCTTCCAGGTTAAAGAGTCATGGCTTGATGTACATCTCTGCCAAGAAGGGTCACCGGGCTGTCAGGTTAACAGTACGAGTCAAAGTGGGGCTCTCAAACTTCCCAAACATAGTACAGAAGAAACGGTAATTCTGATTTTTCTCTTCCCTTTAATCTTTGACCGGACGAGCTCCATGGCTGCCAAATCAAGTACTATATAAGTGAAACATGCTTACTGGATATAACAAGAGTAAAAACCATGAATTTCACCTGGTTTGGTGACTGCCAGCTTCGCCCGCCGAATGATTCAATTCTCACCTAGAATTTCCTTTCATGTTTCTTTGACTTCATCCCTCACTAGACTTCATAAGACTCACATTCATTTGTACCCAGGAAATAAAATTTGGAGGGGTGGGACGGGGGTGTAGGACATAAATGGCAGAAACAGCAACGCAATGCTATTATCTTCTAAAACTTTGAGCTTTAATGAGCTCATTGTCATCTTATAAAGACGTTTCACTTAGTTTATTTATGAACAGTTGAAGACGGTATTCTCCAAGTTTAAGGATGTGAAAGTAATCCAGTTCTCAACAATGCAAGATGCCTTTGATCGATTTACTGACAAGGTAATATCCCCTCAATCTACTCCCCCTTCCCGTAATTCTCTCCCTCTCATTCTTCTCTATGCATAGTTCTCCACGAACTAAAATGGAGAATAACGTGTTCTCAATTTGTATCAGACAAGGGAAGAACAATTCAGGAATCGTGTCAAGAGGTATGTAGGCATTTGGTGTTGTGTGGAAAATCACACACCAGGTCACATATACTATGATATGTATTGGGATGAGAAACCTGGCTGGAAAGCAGCTCCTCCTAACTCTACAGTAGACGATCATCCGCCTTGGTGAGGCCCTTGGACTCCATTACCCTCAGAGAAGTGTGAAAAGAAATGCTATAACACCTTGCAATTCAAGAGGGATGTACCATTGTTTCATAGAGAAATGTACTTTTTCAATCTATAGAGTTGGTATGAAGGATTAGTCCTCCATTAGAATAGAACATATATGCTTCTTTTTTTTGTGTCCAAGCAAAAAATTTTGATTGTTCCAACATGAAAGAAGTACAAAATAATGGAAGTGTATAATTTTGATTTGAGTAAAGATGGCAGCTAACCAAATGGTTGTCATTAGTGCAGTATGCAGAGGGGTTTAGAGTTAAATCAACTGTTCAAAACCTTCATTTTCTACTTTTCCAGGAGAACAATTTTAGCATATTTATAGATGATTTAAAATGGAAAAGGGTTAAGAAAATGCTCGAAAAATATAATCTTCTATTAAATTTTCACATTCAATAATCATTTTGTGGACACTTTACTAAAACTAACTCTCGGGTTGAACATAAAGAATGCTTACCATTGAAGAGTTTAAACTATCTCTCAGGTTGAACATAAAGAATGCTTACCATTCGAGCAACTCTCTCTTGTCCTCGTGTATATACCTAACATATGTAGACTTCTAGCACTTTTGTGATTTAGTTAGTGTTTACTCCAAATCAGTAAGGTTTTGAGCAAATTTTACCATTTTCACTTTCAAAAATGTGTCGAGAAACTGAAATGGGCATAACATGAAAAAGCTGTTCAAATATGGATCTAAAGCTCTCTTTTTTTGCCCATCACTGTCCAACAAAATCTCTCAACATGTACCACCTTTGCACCTCTCCTCTCATACCCTTTTCCCCAAAGATAACTTCTTTATTACATATGGGAAAGCTCAAGTCAATGCTTACACTTCCCCTGCCACCCACCAATTGTTTGATAAAGTGTCACAAAGAAGAATTCAAGATTTCAAGAATGGCAAAGGGGATGAAATATTTGAACTTGTTAACATGGTTAAAGAAAATCCTGATATCTTAAATGCTTCACAAGTACATGGCTTAGTGCTTAAAGTAGGCATGCTTGCTCATTTGCCCACTGTTACTACATTCCTCATTATCTACTCAAGAGCCAAGAATTTAAGCTCTTCATTGACCCTTTTTGCTGAAATTATCAACAAAGATGTGGTTACCTGGAATGCTATCATGACAGCATGTATAGAGAACAATTCTTTTGCATTTGCAGTGAATATCTTTGCTGAAATGGTGAATGGAGGAAAGCAGTTTGATTCTGCCACGCTTGTTATTGTCATTTCTGCATTATCTAACATGAGAGATTTCAGAAAGGGATTGGTTGTTCATTGTTTAGGTATGAAAATGGGAATGCTTTGGGATTCAATCTTGGGAAATGCTCTGATTGACTTTTATGCAAAGTGTAGTTATTTGAGCTCAGCGGAGTGTGTATTTATCGATATAGAATGTAAAGATGTTGTTTCCTGGAATTCAGTAATTAGTGGTTGTCTTTATAATGGTAATCCTGAGAAGTCTTTATTGTACTTTAGGCAGATGGCTAATTTGGAAAAGGGTGCTGATAGCGTGAGTCTCTCTTGTGCTATCACTGCTTCTGCATGTTTAGATGAGTTTTATTGTGGTCATACTATTCATGGATGGGGTATAAAGCTAGGATATGAGGAGAGATGCCACCTTTCAGTGGCAAATTCCCTCATTTCATTGTATTTCCGATCTGGGGATACTGATGCTGCTGAATATATCTTTAATAAAATGGAGTGTACGGATATAATAACATGGAATTCAATGATAAGTGGATTCGCTTTGAATGGAAAAATTACTGATGCATTTGATGCTCTTCATGAAATGCAGTTCATAAGGACCATAGAACTGGATGCTGTGACATTAATTTCCATTATCCCGCTAGTTGCAGAATTCATGCTATTGAGAGAAGGAAAAGCTACTCATGCCTTTGCCATCCGTAGAGAGATGGGAGAAGAACTCTCCATGATGAATGCTCTCATGGATATGTATTTTAACTGCGGAAGGGTCAAGGACGCTGAGCAGCTTTTCTTAAATATGCCAAAGAAAGATATAGTTTCATGGAATACCATAATCTCTGGGTATTCCCAGAATGGCTGGTGTAGAGAAGCTCAGTCATTGCTTAAGAAGTTTCACAGTGGGAGCTCAGAATGCAGCCTGTCGACTCTCTTGGCTATTCTTCCTGCTTGTGATTCCCCCAACTTGATTCAATTTGGTAAGTTGATCCATTCGTGGGAGGTGAAGTTGGGATTTGTAAATAATACCATCTTAGTAAATTCGTTGATGTACATGTATACTTGTTCCGGTGATCTAGTAGCTTCTTTCAAATTGCTGGAGGAGATAGCTTATACTGCTGATGTGGATAGCTGGAATACTGTGATTTCAGGATGCACACAGAATGGCCACTACTGGGAAGCTTTAAATGCTTTCAAGTTAATGAGACTCAAATCAAATATCATCCATGATACTATTACTCTAGTCAATATCATACCAGCCTTTGGAGATCTTGAATTGACATGTGAAGGAAAGTCAATTCATGCCTTAGCTTTAAAGACCTCAGCTGGTCAAGACATTCGTGTGCAGAATGCTCTTGTTACTATGTATGGAAAATTGAGTAACGTGAAAAGTGCAACAAAAGTGTTTGAACTTTGCTTTTATCATAACTTGTGCTCTTGGAACTGCATGATATCTGCTTTAGCTCAGAATAAAAATTCTAAAGAAGCAATAGAATTGTTCCGTTTGCTTGAGTTTAAACCAGACGAGATCACCATCGCTACCGTTCTTTCAGCTTGTCGGCAACTTGGAATTATTAGACATGGGAAACAGATCCATTCACACCTCATCAGATCTGGTTTTTACAAAAATGCTTTTGTATCAGCTGCTCTTGTGGATATGTATAGTAGCTGTGGCAGGTTAGACATTGCTCTTCAGGTATTCCAGAGTTCAGCCGAGAGATCTATTGCAGCTTGGAATTCAATGATCTCTGCATATGGTTTCCACAGCAATGGTCAGAAAGCAATTGACATCTTTCATGAGATGATTAATTCGGGACTTACTCCGTCTAAAGTCACATTTATCAACTTATTAACAGCTTGCAGCCACACAGGGCTTGTTGACCAAGGCTTCTGGTATTACAATCATATGCTTGATGAGTTTGGAGTTCAACGTTCCACAGAGCATCATGTCTGCGTGGTTGATATGTTAGGCCGATCAGGGAGGCTGCACGAGGCATATAATTTTGTAAAAGAGCTTCCAATCCCACCTGATCCAGGAATCTGGGGTGCTTTGCTCAGTGCTTGCAATTATCATGGTGATCTTCAATTAGGGAAAGAAGTAGCAAGTCTACTGTTTCTGTTGGAACCTGAGAATGTCGGATATCATCTTGCATTATCCAACATATATGTTGCTACTGGAAGCTGGAAGGAAGCTGGAGAATTGAGGGACATTGTTCATATAAAAGGGTTAAAGAAATCTGCTGCTTATAGTATTATTGATCTTGGCTCCAGCTGAAGCCTCATGGTTTAGTGGAGCAAAACAGCTAACAGAGCATTTAGTTGAGTGTCTACAAGAAACTATCCAGCTCCTATTGGCCTTTGCTGCTGATAGAACCTGAGGTTCGTTTTCTTTTCTTCACCCCTCGTAGGTGCTCCCACCTTTTTGCTCCTTTGGTTACTCGAACCCATAACCCTAAATTCGGAGATGGAGGGTGCACCTACGAGGGGTAATTTTGATCCTTAACTATGCTTTTTCGATAGATCAATTTGCAATCCTTTGGAGTTATTATCTGAATGTTATGTATCTCAAATACTTCGCGTGATTGCCTAAAGAAAATACATCTTTTGCACCCTCAACTTATCCTTGAATCTACTTTGCAATAACATAAAATCTCAATATAATATAAGAACATTGAAGAAATGCATACTTAACAATAAGATTAAAAATCTCATTTTCAATATTAATATTTGTATGAGGATCACAAAATATTCATATACATATATACTACTTTTTACAACTGGGATCCTGAGGATAAAGAGTGCATTTTTGGTTTACAAAAGATTGATCAGAAGACAAAAAATCTGGTGGTGGGAATAAGTTGCAACGTTGACAGTAGCAAGTGCCGTGTGCACAAATTGGTGTCTCATTGTCTCTGCACCTAATATTGCAATTTACTGTTTCCTTACATGGTGTCACTGAAGGTGCATAACCTGTAAAATATAAACAAAATTTTCATATCATAACTTTGTAAAAAATGAACAATACTAAAGCAACATCTAGATGTAGTTGTTCTTAATGTTATTTGCTTTTTCAATCGAGATGGAACAATACTTTGATTCCAAAAATAATCGAGATATATTATCTTCTGCTTCGATCGAAAAATTCAACTTTGTAATGGTAACAAAATATTTGAAACTAACCTCTGGAAAGGAGCAAGAGTGTGAACACAAGGGTCAACTTGAATGAAATCATATTCATGTTTGGAGATGATACTTAGTGACAATATGAAATGAATATTGGAATATCAAAACCTTTTGCAGTTTATGTTATATATATGTAGGGAGAATTGCAGTCTACAACTTATGCTAGTCTTTAAATCAATCACTTTAAAAAAAATTCCTTATTAGGAAATGCATGTATATGTGGTACTCAAAGTTAATTTGGTGATAAATTTTTTTTAAAAATTCCATATTAATATATGTGCAATTGTGCATAACCTTTAAATAAGAGGATATCTATAGAAAAATGATTAATTATTGGCAGTGATAAATGAATAATTTCAATCGGATGGACAAATTAAAATGAATTGAGCTAAAATGGAATAGATTGAATTGTATTGAGTTTGAATGGATTGAAGAGCCTTAGAGCCTATTTGGCATTTTGATTAAAAATTGCTTGAATCTAGAAGCGTTTTTTTTTAAAATAGAAAAATCCTTTTGAAAAAAAGCATTTTGTATTTGACCAATCATTTTTGAAAGTGTTTTTAAGAGTCAAATTATGAAAAAGATAAGTAGCAATGTATTTTTAATATTAAGATTATTTCTATAGAGAAACTATTTTAAATATCTATTATAAAAATTTAATTGTTATAAAGTTGAAGCTCATAACAATATAAGTATAACGGAAAAAGATATCTAAGAGAAGTAGATGTGGGAGAAGACTTTCTTCTTGTATACTTCAAATGGTGAATGAAAATCTCTATTTATTGTATTGAGATATCACTTCCAAAGATCACCAAATTAATAGATACATGTTTATCCACAATGGATTATACGTACATGAATACAAGTAATTCATGAATATCAGATGGACAATCCACTTAATTAGTTCAATGGATTTATAACATTAATTAATTTTTTTATTAAATTAAACGTAAATATTCAAAATTCTAATCAATGAAATCTTTCATTATTTGTTTTCTTTTTTCTAGTCTTGCAAAAATGTTTTTGTTACTTTTTTCTAATACTACAAAATAACATATGAAATATAAAATAATACTGTATAAACGTAAAATAGAATTCAAAATTTATTATATAAAATTTAAAAATAAAAATTCTTAAATGAAATCTAATCAAACTTATTATATGTGTTAACTTTGATAACAGATATATCGATAAATATAAAAATATATGGAAGTGATAGTTTACTCTTGAAAAAAAAATAAGGATAAATTACTTAAATACACACCTTTATTTTTTATAATTTTCATTATTCTCTACTATTTTAAAATATCTCCAAAATCCCTTCTTTTCCTTTCAAATCCCATTGTTATAGATACATTAAGTTTCACATTCAAGCACACGTTTCTATTCCTAATTTCACTCCCTTAATCCCTCCCTATTACACTCCATTTAACCTCTTCCTATTTTCACTCCCTCAATCTTTACTTCCTTCATTTTTTTTTAATTTTCAGATTTATTCTCTCTTCATAAGATTTTTCAAGAATCAAGTAAGTTTTCGCTTCACAATTTTTTTCGAAGAACTACCAGATCTCTTCCCTTTCCACACTTTTACAAAATATATAAGGAAAAAGTGAAATAGATGATGTATCTCCATTGCTCCTTGCAACATCATCGTTTCCAGTGATCCTCTTTTGCTGATGAAATCATTTCCATTGTTGACAGTGAGACAAAGATACAAAAGTTGATATAGAAGAAAGTAAAAGTGTAGGGGGATTTCTTGGTCATTTGTTTCTTTTTGCTTTCAACAGATCAATTGTTGATTATTTTTTTTTGTACTTCATCCTTTATAATACATATGATTTCATATTTAATATATTTAGTTGATTTTGTTTCTTAAACTAATGTATAATGCCTTTGTTGATTTTCAATGTAACTCGTTTATTTTGATTCTTAAATTAGTCTTTATTAGTGCTATCAGTGACTTGGTACATCATCCTGTTACAATAACTTTGGTTTTATTCAATGTCTCATATTTATATTTAAGGTGTTGATATATAATTTTAATGTTGTTGAATATTCTATTAGTTTTATCATATTCAATACAAATGTTGTTGATACATAAACACTACCTAATGTATCATCTACATGTATCAAGTTCTTTAATATATCATCAATCTTAGTCAAATTTAAAAGGCTATTAGCCAATAACAAATTTGTCGTGTGTTATGTATCTACACTCTTTAACATTTGTTCGATCTTACCCAATTTAGAATGCGATGAATATTTACATTTACCTAATAATAATCTTGAAACTAACTCAGAATGTTCTATAACTGGAGCACTACGTATTAGATCAAACAATAGGTATATAATATATATTCATTCTTTGGCAAACTACAATTACATGTATATGATACTTAATAACTGCCAAACAATAATGCATCGATCAACAAATATTTACTTCTCTAATGTATCTAATAGGATTACAACATTTAGCAATTTCTAAATATTTTAGGAATAGTAATGTATCATGATTAATATATCTTTTTTCCATAACGTTCACAAGGTATCTCGTCAAGTTGAAATCTACCACAATTACATATTTTAAGATTAAGGCAAACAATGTTTTTTCTTCCAGCACCAAACTAGCACATAGCGACACAAATTTGTAACCGTCTTATCTTATGCACCAGATACATTACAATAATCAATGATACAACCATTCAACAAAATCCAAGATGGATATATATTTGTGTATCATCTACACTTGTTTCTCGATCAAAACAAGTAATTTACATATCTTGATTGTTACACTATTTATTTGTACCGTATACATAATAATAGTCTGAACTCTAATACTTTTATATGAATTTGTGATACATGTACTCGATATTCAACACCTATTTGATCTATCTCAATTGCTAATCCATTTAGTACATGTATCATATACAATATAGTATGATGATACATTATTATACAAATTCCATCCAAATACAAAATAATGACCAAATCATAATTCATACATTCAAAATTACAATACACATGCGTCGTATAACACTAATGTATCATGACTAACATATTCACACCAAAATGACAAACAAAACAATGACCCTGAGCTTTTTTATGATATTGATCACTATATTCTGTTTCTGTCAAAGAAAAATGTCTAAAGGTAATGACCATTGCTTTGTTTTAGTTCTTGTAGTACCAGAGCTTCATCGAACATTTTACTCTGCACAACATCAATCAATTAAACTTGAAATTTATTAACTACACTATGGTTCATCACGCTGTATATGCGCTTCATTTGATCAATAACAACCCCAATTTAGAAAGGCTTTGATTGATGATACGTCTTATTTTATTAAATATGTTGAATTGATGTTGTTGCATCTGACAATTAATCATTAGCCTTCATTTTCAGTTTCTCTGGTGAAATGATTCTAAGAATGTTGTAAACCGTTTTATTCATCACTTGTAATCCCAAATAATGACATATAATGCTAAAAAGATGGATATATAAAGCTGAATCTATTTTCATGTAATAAATTTATGAAGCATACATTGGCATCGGCATCTGCAACTGCACTTGAGAAAATATGTGTTGTTAGCATTTTTAGTAACTTTATATATTCATTAATTTTCTTTAAATAAGAAATAAATTAACTTTTCAGAAATCAAATTAAATTTTAATAAATGAAAGATGAAAAAAGGAGATAACATTTACTAGTTGACAGAAGGATCATGTTAGCAATGTTAACAGCAACCAATATTGTCCTTGTTTAATCAGATTTGTGTGATACATTGAATTCAAATTACTCAACGATTTATTATACTCAATAATTTCAAATTGATGATTCGAAATTGTCAATCGTTTGTTCAATCATCTACAACGACGGATTTGAGACTCAAAATGACGAACCACGTTTTTGTAACTTTTTTTGGACGAATATGAATAAATAAATCAAAATTTGTATTTTCTAATTATTTTAGTGTTTGATATAGACTAAAATTGAATATTTGAAATAACAAATTTAAGCACATTTTGGGTGACTTGATTATGTCAGCGTATTTAGAGGGGATGAAATTAAATTTTCAGGTACTAATCCCATACTTCACGCAACAAACGGATAATGCTGCATCAAAAAAAGAATGTATCCTAAAATTACTAAAAAAGTGGGATTTCTGTAATTTGTGAAAGAATAGAGATAGGATGTAGTTTGTGTTTTACACTATGTGATTTGCATACTTTTTTACTTTTTTTAAGAAGCAGAAACTTAGGTTTTCCTCAAAAGCAGAAAAATTATTTTTATTTATTTCAATTTTACTAATTTATCAAACGCTTGATTTATTTGTTTTTTTAAAAAAATTAACACCCCAATAACATGAGTCCGGAGCCTAAAGGGTATAAATTATTAAAAAAAATTCTAAAAGGTATATGAATTTTTATTTTAACCAAAAGGGCAAAATCGCTAGAAGAACAGCGATGTTGCTCACCAAAAAAAGCAAAATCACTGTAATAGCAGCGATTTCCAAAATAATTTTTTAAAATAATTTTTTAATAAATCGCTGCCTAAGCAGTGATTTCTTTAATTTTTTTTTCAATTTATTATTTGAAATTTTTAAAAAAAAATGAAAAGCAAATCGCTGCATATTTTTTTAAATTAAA